AATACCAGGACCCTGGGGTCATGACCCAAGCCGAAGGCAGCTGCTTAACGACTGAGCCACCCAGGCGCCCCTAACCAAGTCTTTTTTAATTGAAATATAAGTACATTGGATATTGAAATCGACATAGAACATATTAGCTTTAAAGAAGAACATATTAGCTTCAAATGTACAACATGATTTTTTTTTAAAAATATTTTATTTATTTATTTGACAGAGAGAGATCACAAGTAGGCAGAGAGGAAGGTGGAGGGAGGGGGTGGAAGCAGGCTCCCTGCTGAGCAGAGAGCCTGATGAGGCACTCAATCCCAGGACCCTGAGATCATGACCTGAGCCGAAGGCAGAGGCTTTAACCCACTGAGCCACCCAGGCACCCTGTACAACACGATTTAATATTTGCATATATTGTGAAATGCTAACCAAAATAAATCTAGCTAACATCTATCACTACACATAGTTACAGGTTTTTTTTCTTATAATGAGAACTTTTAAGATCTCTCTTTGCAACTTTCAAGTATACAGTACATTATTACTAACTATAGTCACCATGCTGTACATGACATTCCCAGGACTTACTTATTTTATAACTGATAGTTTATATATCTTTTGAGGTGACTCTTCAAGGAAACTCTGACTGTTGATTCCTAGAAGGATGGATAGTTGCTTGGAGCTGTGACAAAATCAGTGTGTGTGTGTGTGTGTGTGTGTGTGTGTGTGTGTGTGTGTGTGTAACAAGCAGCCTCACACTTCAATAAGAACCTACTGTGAGCCAGTTCTGTGCTTGATCATGTCATGGAAAGAAGACATAACCCTATCCTCCTGGAGTTCCTGCCCAGGTGAAAAGACCCAACAAACCCATGATAAACAGTGTCCACGCCAATTTAATAAAAGAAGAGTTAGAATGAGCTGGAGCATCCAGGAGAGCTTTGTGGAAGGGATTCAGATTTATCTGGGCCTTCTATATTCGGCAAGGTCAACTGTGAAAGAGGTAGACGGAAGAAAATCATTGGCAGCAGCTGCAAAAGTGGCTCCAGCTGTAGGCCTTCACGAGCGTCATATCAGGGAGCCCTGCTGGTCATTAAAAGACAGAGTAGAAATAGATTCCAAGGAGAAGGAGACAGAGGTCTTCCCCTTCTTTGGGGGTTTAAGGCTAGAAGAGCTCTTCTCTGCTTCCTACTGCACACCAGAGAGAAAGGTAGGTTTTCTCGCCTGGGTTTTGTGATCCATGAGCAGTTTGTTTCTGGGCTGAAATTGGGTGTCAAGATAAGTGGAATAAAGGTAAATCAAGAATGTTGGGAAGGCAACTAGCATACGGATAAGAATGCCAGGAACGAGGGAGAAAGTTTATAGGGACGCGAGGGAGAAAGTTTATAGGGAGCAATTTACAAGTTCCATGGTAGTGGGAGGGTAGGCAAGAGGGAAGAAGGTTTGTTTGAGTGTAGAACGATAAAAAATACAAGATTAAGTACGTAATGATTAGGGTCAGGCATTTATTCAGAGTTTTGTATTATCAATGCATGTCTGTATGTAAAGGACTTAGAAGCTACAATCATTCTCAAAACCAACAAACACAAGAACCACCACTGCTTACAAGAATGTGTCTTCTGGGGGTGCCTGGGTGGCTCAGTGGGTTAAGCCTTTGCCTTTGGCTGAGGTCATGATCTCAGAGTCCTGGTATTGAGCCCCGCATCACGCTCTCTGCTCAGCGGGGAGTCTGCCCCCCCCACCACCTACCTCTGTGCCTACGTGTGGTCTGTCAAATAAATAAATAAAATCTTTTTTAAAAAGTTTGTCTTCTGGCCGATCATTTACCTTCTGTTTTTGTCACCTTCTAACTGCCCAGTAACTCCTTATTCGAGATTTTAACACCTGGATCACTGTCTTTCTCACCCCATTTCTGTCCTCACACTTGGGAACTTTATCATAATGGTATAATCTAGGTTTCCTACTGTGGCCTCTCATCACTCTACATGAGCACTCTTGTTGATGTTATCTCCTCCCAGACTTCACTTACTATTGAAGGGCCATTTGTTTCTGTATTTGTTCCTAGCCCAAACATCCCTTGTGAGTTTGAGACCCATGTATCCAACTGGAGAGCAATACCTGGATATTTCATGGAACTCAAATACAACTAGTCAAAATCTGAATTCCTTATCTCACAAACATGCTTCTTCTGTTCTCAAAATGCTGTTATATGGAATCAATGCCTATCTAGTCACCCAAACTAGAATGTTGGGGGCAGGTCATCACCATTTTTTTTTTTTAAAGATTTTATTTATTTATTTGACCGACAGATCACAAGTAGTCAGGCAGGCAGAGAGAGAGAGGAGGAAGCAGGCTCCCTGCTGAGAAGAGAGCCCGATGCGGGGCTCGATCCCAGGACCCTGAGATCATGACCTGAGCTGAAGGCAGAGGCTTTTAACCCACTGAGCCACCCCGGTGCCCCAGGTCATCACCATTTTATCTGCACCTCCTAGAAGCCATATCCCATAACGTACCACCTCCATAGATTGCACCTGTTGTCCATGAGTACAGAGCTACCCTGGTTCCAGAGAGTAAAACTGTTGGTTAAGAGATTAAGTCCTGGGGCGCCTGGGTGGCTCAGTGGGTTAAGCCTCTGCCTTCAGCTCAGGTCATGATCTCAGGGTTCTGGAATCGAGTCCCACATCAGGCTCTCTGCTCATAGGGAGCCTGCTTCCCCCTCTCTCTCTGCCTCTCTCTCTGCCTACTTGTGATCTCTCTCTGTCAAATAAATAAATAAAATCTTTAAAAAAAAAAAGAGAGATTAAGTCCTGGAGTAAGCATGCCTGGGTTTGAATAATAGCTTTCAGTTGGTACTGTGTAGTTGCTGGGGAGTTACATAAGCTTTCTGTTTCTTGTTTTTTTCCTCTGTAAAATGGGAATATTATATTGCTTACTTCATAAAATTGTTAGAATCAATTGTTATGTAAAATACAAGGAATACAGTAAGTACTCAATAACTTCTAGTGATGTTGATGGTATCAACAGTGATGATGCCTGAATAGAGCTGGTAGGGGCAACCACCCAGCACCAATAATTGAGGAACAAGATTCGGAGGATCTCACCTGCTTCTTAACCAGACTTTCAACCAATCCTTTATCCAGCCCAAGCCACATCTTTTCCTTTAAAGAAACTCAGTGCCTCCAATTCTTAAGCCCTCCTAGGTTCTGAGGGGCAAAATAGTTTGCCTTCTAGGAGCTTTCCCTCAGTAGGTACTTCAGTTTTTATGTTACACACATAAAAAACTGCCCAATATGGTAGCCACTAGTCACATGGCTATTAAGCCACTGAAATGCAAGTTAGGAGTGCTATACACGTTGAAAGGATATTTGGGGTAGATTGGGTTAAATAAAATGCATTAAATGAATTTCACCCGTTTGCTTTTTTATTTTTTAAAAATATTTTATTTATTTGACAGAGACACTATGAGAGAGGGAACACAAGTAGGGGAATTGGGAGAGGGAGAAACCAGCTTCCCACCAAGCAGGGAGCTCGATGTGGGGCTCAATCCCAGGACTCTGGGATCATGACCTGACAGGAAGGCAAATGCTTAGCAACTGGCCACCCAGGGGCCTCCTCCCCCACCCCCACAGCCCGCACATTTGCTTTTTCAATGAGGCTGCTAGAAAATTTTAACTTACATATGTGACTATCATTGTATTTCTATTGGATAATGTTGCATCTTACAAAATGTTGACTTTTTTTGCCTGTTGTCATATTTTCACTCTTTCTCCTTAGTCTTGTAGTGGATACCCTTTACCTCTTTATTTTCATTTTTGTGAGGTGCCTGGAGGAGGAAAGATAAATGGGTGTGTTCCATCCGCCACGTTGAACTGGAAGTTTTATCTAGGCTTCTCACAATCTTGCTCCTGCTTATATTTGTAGCCTTATTACTTTATGTTCTGTCACCAGCCCTATGGCCCAGCCAAAATGAATCACTAGGAATCTTTGGAAGGCACACAGGCTTTCATGAACTTGCTTTCTTTGTATCCTTTGTCTGAGTACTCTAACTCCTCCCACCTGTCTGGTGACTTATTCTTCAAAAACTCAAATTTCACCTACTTTCAGGAGCTTTTCTTGTCCCTGTCCTTCCAGTTGAGGTGACTGTTCCGGAGCCGAGAATATTTCCTGCATTTCTTGGTTAGATACCTATCTCCCCCATAAGGAATCCCATCTTATTCATCAGACCCTATAGTGCCATTTCCGGATTTGGTACATTGTAGGAACTAAATGTTTATTATTTAATGTTTATAAAACAAATGAATAAAGACATGAAAGAAGGACTGGGAATGCAGAGGAAGGAGAGGGCTGACTGGAGAAGTCTCATGAGGGTGGTATTTTTCATTTGTTCTTCAGAGAAGTTTCTCACCAGCGGGGAAGGTGTTAGGAATTTTTCAGGCAGAGGCAACAGGACAAGCCAAGCTTCCCTGAAAGCAAGGAATATGCTGGGGAAAGAGCAAATGAGGTCGTTTGGATGCAGCACTGTTCAGACCAGATCATTCAGGGTCTGGCGGTCCCAGAAAGAAATTTGAGGGTTGTGCGGGGGATCAAGAAGTGTTTGTGAAAGGAGTTACACCGTGGAGCGAGATCATTAGGCGTTCGCTTTAGCATTTTCCCGTTTGGCTGCGGACGGAGGCTGGCTGGGAGCGGAGGGCGCTGCTTGCGGTAAGGGGCTCGGCGGCGTGGTCGGGGCGGACGGCGAGCAGGGCGGCCAGCGGGATACGGCGAAGAAAGGGCACGACCGCCAGCCCCGGGGCAGGGGGAGATGGCACCGCGGGGTGCGGAGAGAGAGGGGTTTCCAGCTGACCCAGACCCGAGGGTGCCGGTGTGAGTACGGAAACGGGGTACGGCCGTGCGGGGGCTTCGCGCACTTGTCCCTTGCGCGTCGCCGTCCGTGCAACTCGCGGTTCGGTCGGAGGAGGCCGCCGGCGCTGCGGTTCCGGTTCCGGCTGGCGTCTGCACCTGTGGTGAGGGCGGCGGCCATGGCGTACTCCACTGTGCAGAGGGTGGCCCTGGCCTCGGGGCTCGTCCTGGCTGTGTCGCTGCTGCTGCCCAAAGCCTTCCTATCCCGCGGAAAGCGGCAGGAGCCGCCGCCGGTGCCGGAAGGTAAGTGGAGGCTAGCTCCCTCTGAGTGTACGGAGAACGCTGCTCCAGGGAGAGGGGCTCGAGGTCTCCTCCGAACGGGCTAGAGAGGGCTGACGGAGCGGTGTTTGGGAGGTGCCAAGCCTCGCGGTCCCCTTAGCGTCAGCGGACAGCGGCAGACTCCATGGGGCGCCTGGTTCCTCCCGACCTTTTGCAGCAGGAAGGGCTGGGGATGCAGGCGTGGGTGCCTGGGCACCCTCCAGGTGGCCTCTCGCTCACCCGTTGTTCGCAGTCTTTCCCTCTTCCCCTCACTGGCTTCCCTCAGCTGTCTCATCTGCCCAAGTGCTCTGAGTTCGGAGGGCTCCCGCTTGGACTCCCGTCTCTGGGGTTTCCGTGTGCTTTGTGTCTTGTGTCGTGCTTTTGTAAGAAGTCAAGTCAACTGACATTGCTGTTCTTAATCTGAAGTCATTGTGTACTTACTTCCAGCGCGCCAATTCAGGCTGTCTTTGTGCCTTTTTAAATACAACTTGAAGATTTTAATTCGAACTTCAATTACTGAGACGAAAGAATTCCTACATTCCCCTCAAGTGTTTGCTAATTCTTTGTTATTGGTATGGTGTATGTGGTGTTTACAAATCCACCTTTTTGGTCGGGTTCAGGGGCTTTTACATAACAGGTGTAGAGGGATGGATGTCCAGGCTGAGAGAAGGAACTAGAACAATTCTCTGTAACCCCTGAAGTTCTACTGGTAACGTTCTACTGTAGGTTATCTCTGTAATACCCTTGAGGATGGTTTTAGTCTCCAAACACTTCCACTGATGTTCAGCCTTTCGATTATTGGACAGCTCCTTTTGAACTGAAGTCCACTTCCCTGTAATCTGTGCACACTGACTGTTGTTCCACTCTTTTGCACATCATAGAAATACTGCAGATGCAAAGCACTAAGCTCTCCGGGTAGAGGACAGATTGAACCGAGAATCCTCTTGAGAGAATGTGCTTGATAAACTTTATACTTGCAAAACTATCTACCCGGAAGAGACTTCTAAAAAATTATGTTATCTTTTTTTCTTTCTGCCTTATTACAAAATTCCAAAGGTTTTACTAATTTTGTCTAATGATACTGCCTTGAGGATTAATTCATGATCTTGAGCAATAAAGATTTTTCTAAAACAATATCTTACTGAATTGAATTCCATTATGCTGAATTATGTTGAATAAGTTCTATTGAATGTGAGTGGGAGATACTCTTCTGAATGTTGTACAGAGATTAAATGGTTTTTTCCCTTGAGAACTCAAGAGCTGATTTTTGATGTTCTCATCTTAGATTCTTTGCACTTTCTGTTCTCCTTATTCCTAGAGTGTTCTTCCCTCAGCTGCCTTCTCATTAGTTTCTACTCAAATGTAACCTTCTCAGAGACTTTCCTTACCAACCCTAGCTGAGATAACTTGACCCTCATTCTTCCTTGTTCCTTCATGTTGTTCTGTTTTCCTTCTTGAAGGAATTATTATATGATATGAAATGTTCTTATTTAGTCTTTCTGTGTCTACCTTCAAGAATGTAAGTTTCATGAGGGCAGTGGCTTGGTCTCCTTTATCACTATTTCTTTAGCACCTGCCTAAAATGGCAGCTGATAAATATTTTTAAGTGAATAATTCAAGTTTACGAAGCTACTAATATTGTGAATTCTTTTTGCCTTAGTTACCAAAGGATATAATCTAGAGAAAAACTTCTCCTAAATGATATATTTCAGTAATTGAAATTTTGCTAACTAAACTCTATGCCCTTGGATGGACTTAGAGTGTATTATGCTGAGTGAAATAAGTCAGAAAAAGACAAATACTATGTGATTTCACTTATAAATGGAATCTAAAAAATAAATGAACAAACAAAACCAGAAATAGACCCATATATAGAGAGAACTGATGGTTGCCAAATGCGAGGGGTGGTGGGGGAATGGACAAAATGGGTGAAGAGGAGTGGGAGATACAGGCTTCCAGTTATGAAATGAGTAAGTCAGGTGGATAAAAGTACAACATAAGGAGTATAGTCAGTGGTGTTGTCATAGTATCATATTGTGATAGTTGGTAGCTATACTCGTGGTAAGCACAATAATGTATAGAGCTATAGAAGGACTGTGTTATACGTATGAAACTAAGGTAACATTGTATGTCAACTATACTTCAATAAAAAATATATTACTTAAAATCCCTGTACCAGTGTGCTGACATTTTAAAAACCGTGATTCCTAACCATTTTGGGTTTATATATCCCTTTGAGAATCTGATGAAAGAGTTTCTCCCTAAAAAAATTCACATATATTCACATATATTCAGAATTTGAGTATCAAGTCTGAGAATTCACAGAACCCTGAAACACTTGTTTTAGAGAAAGAAACAACCCCAGTTATTTGAAAACTCTTGAAACTTTTCTTCCTATTGGAGTATGTACAACAAGTACAGTCCCTTTTCCACATGACAGCCCTTAAGACAGTCTTTTAGTAAATACTTATGATGTACTCTTTCACATAGTGTATACACAGTATACAGATAACCATGGATTCTAAGAAAAATGAGCCAAATCTCTCCTTGAGGATCACAGTTTAGTAGAGGAAAAAAGACAAAAAATAAGTGCATAAGTGTCAGTTGCATGTACTCAAAGTCCTTGCATGGAACAGTGAGGAGTCACGGTTAGAATTGTCAGTTTTACCGGTGTCCTAGAGCAGGAGAGTCCTTTTTTCCCCCCCAACAGCTTTCTTGAGATATAATTCACATACAGTTCACCCATTTAAAGTGTACAGTTCAGTGGGGTTTATTATATTCAGAGTTGTGCAACCATCACCACAATCAGTGTTTGAACATTTTTCTACCGCACCTCCACCGCCCGCTAAAATCCCCACATTCTTTAGCCATCACCCTCCAACACACCCCACCCCCCTTCAGCCCTAGGTAACTACTAATCTACTTTCTATCAGTATAAATTTTCCTGTTCTGGAAATTCATATAAATGGAATTCTACAATATGTGATCTTTTGTGACTAGCTTCTTTTGCTCAGCATGTTTTTAAGGTTCATCCATGCTATAGCATGTATACATACTTCATTATTTTTTTAAGGTTTATTTTAGAGAGAGTGAGGGGGAGGAGCAGAGGGAGAAGGAGAGAGAAACCCAAGCAGACTTCACATTGCGTGCAGAGCCTGACGCGGGCCTTGATCTCATGATCTAAGGCAAGGCCACCTAACAGACTGTGCCAGCCGGGCATCCCAGTACTTCATTACTTTTAAATGGCTGAATAATATTCCATTGTGTGGCTATACCACATTTTATTTATCCATTCATCTGCTGATGGACATGGACATTTGGGTTGTTTTTTATATATATATATATATATATATATATACATATATATATATATATATATATTTTTTTTTTTTTTTTAATTTGACAGAAAGAGGGGGAGAGAGCAAGCACAAGCAGGGGGAATGGCAGGCAGGGGATAGGCAGGCTCCCCACTCAGCAAGGAGCCCGATGTGGGCTTCGATTCTGGGACCCTGAGATCATGACCTGAGCTGAAGGCAGCAGCTTAACCAACTGAGCCACCCAGGCACCCCAGGTTGTTCATATTTTTTATTATAGATAATGCTGCTGTTAACATTTGAATACAAACTTGGACATGTTTTTATTTTTTTTAGGGATATACATTTGGGAAATATGAGCATTTTACTGTGGCTGGAATGAAGAGTGACATTTCCGGGTCATATGATTACTCTGTTTTTAATCTTTTGAGGAACTGCTAGACTGTTTGCCATAGTGCCTGCACCATTTAACATTTCTGCCAGCAAGGGGGAAGTATTCTAGTTTCTCCACATCTTGCCAACATTTTTGATCATAGGCATTCTAGTCGGTGTGAAATAATATCTCATTTTGGTTTTATTTGCATTTTCCTGATGACCTTTGACATTGAGCATCTTTTTGTGTGTATATTGGCTATTTGTATATCATCTTTGGAGAAATGCCTTATTCAGATCCTGTGCCCATTTTTAAATTGGGTTACTTTTTATTGTTGAGTTTTAAGGGCTTTTTAGATAAAAATCTATTAGCAGATATATAATTTACAAATATTTTCTCCGATTCAGTGGGTTGTTTTCACTTTCTTGCTGGTGTCCTTTGAAGAAGAAAAGTTTTTCATTTTGATGAGAGATGAGACCAGAGATGTCGGTAGGGACCAAACTGTGAGGACTTTTTTCTTTTTCTGTCATACTTAAGAGGTTTGGATTTTATTTCAAAGGTGGGAGAGGCCATTTTAAGTTTGTAAGTAGAAGAGAAACCTCCAGTCTGGTTTTAGAAAGGACATCCTAGCAGCACTCTAGGAGCTGCATTGTGAGGATTTCTTTAAGGAAAAGATGGTCACAGTACTCCAGGTGAGATCGTGTGAGTATCATTAAGTCAGTGCTGTTGAGCTCATGAGTTAGGATCCTCATGACAAATGACAGAAAATTCAACTTCAACTGTCTTAAGACAAAAAGGGGCTTTATTGCTTGTGTCAGTGAAAAGCGCATGTGTTAGAACTGGCCTTTAGTGTTGTTTGATCCAGAGATTCACAGTCTCTTCAGGGCTCCAGCTCTAATTTTCTGTGTGCATTTCACTTCCAAGTTCCTTCTCAAGTTGGCTCTGTCCTCTGCCTGCTCTCTCAGGATAGCAACAGTGGTTGCAATAGCACCATACATCACCTCTCACCTTCCATTGTCCAGACAAGGAGCATGTCTTTTCTTTTAAACTCTTCCTTCACTCCCACCTTACTCTTATCTAAGTAGTTTTTGCTAAACTATCCATACATTTTAGTGACTTAATTTACTTGCAGTGCTTGGGGTAGAAAGAATATGCTGATTAACTACTGATTAACCACTCTGAAGTTGAGAGAGATTCCCAAAGTGATATAAGGTACTGGAGGAAGGAGGAAGTAGAGCAGGGGAGGCTGTCACCATTGGGTAAAAGGGAGGAGAACAATTTTAAGAGCTCTTTTTATT